AAAACCGTGGTAGCTTCTCCTTGCTTGAACTGAAGTACTTCAAGAATTCTTCTCAACCAAATAGCTTGACAAGCACAAGCTATAGCAGCAACAAATTCAGCTTCGGTACTCGACAAAGTAACAATTGGCTTGGCTGTTTTTTAGAAGACCACGAAACAGCCCCTGTACCCAACATAAAAATATAACCCGAAGTGCTCTTCCTATCATCTTGATCGCTTGCATAATCGGTGTCAGTAAAACCAAGCAAATTCGACTTTGCACCTCTCTTGTAGAATAATCCAAACTCCTTGGTGCCTTGTAAGTAACGAAGAATTATCTTGGCCGCTAACATATGCATCTTAGTTGGATTCTCCATGTATCTACTCATGAGGCTCACTGAGTACATAATATCCGGTCTCGTAGCATAAATACATTAAACTGCCAACAATTTGCTTGTAAAGTGTGCTCTCCACCTTCTTTCCTTCACGATCTTTGTTTAGCTTCAAGCCAAACTCAATTGGAGTAGTCACGTGATTGCAATGATTGCAATCCGTCATCCAAAACCTATTTAACATATCTCGCACATATTTATTTTGAGATATAAAAACTCCATTATCACATTGCACTACCTCTATGCCAAGAAAATAATGGATCTTACCAAGATCAGACATTTCAAACTCATCCATCATAGATTTCTTGAATTCTTAAAACATGATATCACAATTTCCAGTAGATATGAGATCATCGACATACAAGCAGACAATGAGCATTTCACTTTTTTCTCCAACTTTAACAAATAAAGTATGCTCGTAAGGACATTTTTTAAAACCAGCTTTTAGAAAATAAGCCTCAATGCGACTATACCAAGCTCGTGGAGCTTGTTTAAGTCCATAAAGAGCTTTTTTTAATCGATAGACTTTATGCTCATTATTAACCATAACATAACCAGTGGGTTGATCGACAAATACCTTCTCCTTCAAGTTTCCATGCAAGAATGCTGATTTGACATCAAGCTGAAATATAGGCCAAGAATTTTGTGCCGCTAATGCAATCACCATTCTGATCGTGTCATGCCTTGCAACTGGAGCAAACACCTCTGTGTAATCAACTCCATATTCTTGCTTGTATCCCTTAGCAACCAATCGTGCCTTATGCTTGTCCACCTCACCCTTTTCTTTGAGTTTCGTCCTAAAAACCCATTTTACACCAATGGTTTTCTGCCCTTCTGGAAGATCAGTCAACTCCCACGTACCGTTTCTTTCGATAGCTTCAATTTTGGCATCCATTGATTGCTGCCATTTTGTTTCTTTGATGGCACTTTCAAAGGTTGTTGGATCATAATCTGCAAATAATGCAAAATGAGTAATTGCATCATCATCTTTATCAAATCCCGGTACCTCATAATCTTCCATCCATGCAGGCCTTCTCCGAATTCGTCGACGAGAGTCGGCATTGGAACTACTCTCTTTTTCTGGCAAGATTTGAGCTGCTACAGGAGTATCGTTTCCTGAATTGTCGAGCATCGGTGATGTTTCTTCAACATCATTATCACATAGAACTTGAGTAGGCTGCTGCCTATCCCAATCCCAAGTCCTTTCTTCATCAAATAATACATCTCGGCTGATTACAATCTTCTTTGTTGTTGGATTGAACAATTTGTACGCCTTTGATGTTTCACTAATGTCTAGAAAGACACACTTCTCACCTCTATCATCAAGCTTCTTTCTCTTCTCATCTGGGACATGCACATATGCGATGCAACTGAAAATTCGGAAATGATCAACACACGGTTTCCTTCCACTCCAGGCCTCCTCCGGTGTCACATCTCGAACAGCAAAAGTAGGGCTTCTATTCAAGATGTGAACGCTCCAATTTACAGCTTCGGGCCAAAAATGTTTCGAAATCCTTCCTTTTGCCAGCAAGCTTCGAACCATATTCAGGATAGTTCTATTTTTCCTCTCCGATACGCCATTTTGTTGTGGTGTGTAAGTAGTTGTGAGCTCTCTACTAATGCCTCGAGCTTCACAAAAAACACCAAAGTCTGTAGAGCAATACTCCCCGCCACGATCAGTTCGAAGAGTTTTGATCGTTTCGCCCGTCTCAGTTTCCACCCGAGCCTTAAAGCTTTTAAATGCACTAAAAGCTTCAGATTTTTCCTGTAAAAAGTAAACCCAAGTTTTTCGGGAAAAATCGTCAATGAAGGTAATTAAGTATCTTTTACCTCCATTCGAAATTGGTTTCAACGGCCCACAAATGTCAGAGTGCACCAACTCCAAAATTCCATTCGCCCTCCAGGACTTCCCTTTAGGAAATTGGGAACGATGTTGTTTGCCGACAAACATTCTTCACAAATTTGAGAAGGAGCTGAGATTTGGGGAAGAACGGTTACCATATTCTTTTGTCGAAGAGTTTTTAATCCCCCCAAACTCAAGTGACCATATCGAAAGTGCAACAACCAAGAAGGATCTTTCACTTCGACCATCAAGCAGGTGTGAAGAGTCTCAATCTTTAAAGGGAACAACCTGTTTGAACTCATTTGAACAATAGCAATAGCTCCTCTCGTCGGATCATAAATTTCGCAAGCACCATTCTGAATAGTAATAACATAACCCTTTTCTTGCAATTGACCAGCACTTAACAAATTATTTTTCAAGTCTGGAACATACAAGACATTAGAGATTGTTTCCACATAAACCATTCTTGGTTCGTATATTCACATCACCTTTTCCCATCACATTCACAGTAGAGAAATCTCCAAAACTGATAGTAGAATGAAAATCTTCATTTAAACGAGTAAATGAAGACTTACTTCCACTCATGTGGTTGCTGCAGCCCGTATCCACATACCAAACACTCGGCTCCGGTTCTTTTTCACTTTGAACCGCCATTAACAAAGTTTCTCCTTCTTTGTTTTCAACAAAATTTGACTTCTCTGCCTTGTCGATAGGCAGCCTGATATAACATTCCGAGCGATAATGACCAAATTTATGACATCTAAAGCACTCGACTTTAGACTTGTCACCGTCTCGACCGTTTTCTTTACTGTGAAACTGGTCATTGTTTGCTCTAACGTTCATATTACCTCTATCGCCTTGATCTCCTCTTCCTCCTCCATATCTTCCACCTCGATCTCCCCTTCCTCTACCTCTACCCCTTCCTCTATCACAAGAGAAATGAGTATTAGTAGAAGCCTTTAAGGCCTGCTCCTCTATTGTTGAACCTCGGTTCATCTTTTGCTCATGGACCAACAATGAACTTTGCAATTCATCGAGAGAAAGTGCGTCTATGTCCTTTGATTCTTCAATGGAACATACAACATAATCATATTTTGGTGTTAGGGAATGCAATTTCTTCTCCACGATAGTGACATCTCCCATCTTCTCGCCATGGAAACGCATTTTGTTGCTGATCTCCATAGTTCTAACACAATAGCTAGTGACTGATTCTCCATCTTTCATCTGGAGTATTTCAAAATCCCTTCTCAAGGCTTGAAGCTGTGCACGCTTCACCCTCGCCGAGCCTTCATATTTCTTATTCATGGAATCCCAAATATCTTTGGAAGTTTCTTTGCAAAGAATAGTTTCCGAGATGGGGCGATCAATCGCCTGAAAGAGATAATTTTTCGCCTTTAAATCTTTCAGCCGTCTCGCTTCCAAGTCTGTTTTTTCACCTTTCGTCAAAGTTTCGACATTTCCAGGTTCTCCAACACCAGTTTCTACGATTGGCCAATACTCTTTGGATCGTAGAAAATTCTCCATCAACATGCTCCAGTGGTCATAATGACCGTCAAAGTGTGGAATTGCTGCCTGCACAAAGTTATTTTCAGAACCCATGAATGATAAAGCTACAGCTTTTTCAAAGGAAGTATATCACGTTTTTTTCTCTTTTTATGTTTCCCTCACCTTATTTTTCTCTCTTTTTGTTTCTCTCACCTTTCTTTTCTCTCTTTCTGTTGGAACAACTCTCACTTAATTTTTTTTTTTAATTTTAGGACCTCACCCGATGGTACCACTGATAGTAAATAAAGAAGATAATAATAATGAAAAACAAATAGATGAAGGGAACTACTGCCATATGCACATTAAGACTTCAATGGAAATAGCCTTTATATAGGCATACACAAACATAAAATAAGGACCCACTAAACCACTTAATAATCTACTAAAAGACTAACAACATGAACTAAATAACTGACCCACTAACATAATTTAAACTACCCACTAATACGTAATTAAATAAACTACTCACTAATACAGTAGCTAACAAGAAAGCATCTTAGTTGTGTTTAATACACCCGTGCATGGATGTTTCTTTTCAAATGGAAAGGTGTGTAAGCTATTTAATGAATCCAGTGTCTTTGATAATGATTCAAATTCCTAGGGTTGCGCTACTCTAACTATATTTTCATGTTGTGGTCTTTTCGACTGCCTTTTTGCCAGTTAAAATTCTTCAACCCTGGATTAACATGAATCGTGTGGTTAGGG